GAAACCATCATTGATTGTCCACAGTGGCACTGAGAAACTACAGGAGTCTCGGAGACCATTCTCTGATCAGGATAATGTCCCTCTGCAGATGGAAAACGATGAACGCCTAAAACCTACTTTAGATCCTTCCAGCTGTGTCTCTCTGAGCGAGGCTGATGGAGAGAACAGTGGTCCCCATGGAGATCATCCCCCTGTACCCACTCGTGCGCTTCCACCACCCCTTACCCTCCAAGGCAACAGCAGTCATGGAAACATTGAATTCAACCCTACAATTCTAAGAAGTGAATCCAACATCTGCTGGGAGCAAGTAACTCCAGAGAAAGAAATGAGTAACTGGAATCAGGTAGGAGGTGATCCGGTCAAGAGAGTCCCTGTGATGAATGTGGTGCTTTCAGACCTCCCTGGAGGAACCATGGAAGGTGTTCTCAAAGACGAAGAGGAGGAAGAGGAGGAGGAAGAGGATGAAGAGCTGTCCAGTTTCTCTTCATTACTTGCCTCCAAGCTCAACTTCTCTCCTCACAGCGACCAGTTGCTTCTCACCATGGAACAAGGGGACACACTGACCTTTTCACCCATGGATCTTGCAAAGCAAGTTAAACCAAGGCATTGCGCCAAGGGTCAATTATCCCAGAATGCCAACCCTCTCACGAACACCAACTTGGATGTTAGCGCATCGGTCCATCGTCATCACAAGAGGAAGGGCAACATCACAGGGACTCGAAGGAGCAAGCGTCTTCGCAACCAGTAACTCGTCCTTTTCCCCTAAGTGTGTTGTCATCAGCCATCCCAGAAAAGTCCTTGTTTATTTTTTTAAACCCTGCACTGATAGGTGTCACCTTCATTCAACCCAAGATTCCAGAATCCCATCATTGTTCAAAATAGGGCCAGGAAGATTGGTTGGTTTTTGCATTTTTCTAAAAAGTGCCTCTTTTGAAGAAGGATATCTCTCCCTCCCACCCATCCACCCCAGTTGTTCCTGCTTCTTAGCCAATTAAAAACAATTTAAAATCCTTCGGCTGTCTCTGCAGGAAGGAGTCAGAAGCTGTCTAATTTCTGCTCATTTCAGAGAGTAAAAAAAAATGGTTTGGTCTTCCTACATCCATCTCGTACTGAACATGGGTGAACGGTGGATGGAAGAAAGGCTCAAACAAAAAGGAGAGAATGATTCCTGGCAAGTTGGAGAATGCAACAATGCTGATTTCATAAACTATTAGAAACACAAAAAGGGTAAAAAAGGGAGAAATAACAACTGTTAAAGAGAAAACCACGTTTTGTTGCTTTCAAATTTATGGGGCAGGAAAGGGGATTTTATAATTTGAGAAAGAATGAGGGTCTGCTTAGTATTTTTAGCACAGCAGCCTTTCCAAAACTCAGTGTTTCTAAGCACAGTGGCTGGGGGTAAGGGGAGGAGTGGCCGGGGACAATGGATAAGGTGGTTATACCCACATGGAGGACAGCTAGATGAATGAGAGCGGCTTTATGGCTTCCAGGAATGGAACATTTGTGTTGGTTTGGGCAATTTAAAAAAAAAGAAAAAATAGTCCTTGAATAATATGGGAACATTTCAAGAAAAAGTAAATAAGATATTTTCCAATAATCCCAAACTCTTGTCTTCTTGTTTTCCACCACAGCTATATTTCAATCTTTTCTGACCTAGGCCTCCTAAGAGCATGAACAAACTCCTTGTCCCAACAAAAAACCTTTTTATTAATTTACTGTGAATTCTGCTCATTCTCATTCAGCAAAGTTTTTAAAGGGAGTATTTACAGTCACAGACCTTATCTGGCTTAGAGAACTGACAGGCCGATATCTGCAAAACCTGGCAAGGAGCCTCGGAGAGTCCCAAACCAATTAAGCGAACTAATTGTCTGCTGCAAACTCCACTCCCCTTTTGCTCCTCTTTTATTTCCTCTGGGAGGAGGCATTCATCATCCAACTGAGGCCTTACTCCTAAGTCGACCCCTGTTCTTTAGCTGTTCCCTTCATCTGTCAACTGCGCATGTGCACACTGGGAACAGGCTCCAGCTGTTCATGTGCCTCACTGATGTCTGGCTCTGAACTTCTGAAGGCAGCTAATAACTGGCATATGGCTCTGGCCCCATCTCTGCCTCTGACACAGAGCCCTCATCAGAGCCTTCCCCAGACTCCAGGACTGGCCCGTATTCCTCCCCAACCTCCTCACTGTCTGAATCTGCTGCCTATTCTGGCGGACCACCATTAAGCAGGTCAGGACAGTAAAACCAATCTCTTATTGTGTGTGGNAGCTTCTGCCAACCTAGCAGTTCGAAAGCACGTAAAAATACAAGTAGAAAAATAGGAACCCCCTTTAGTGGGAAGATAACAGTGTTCTGTGCAGCTTTGCCGTTTAGTCACGGAGACATCTTTGGACAGTGCTGACTCTTTGGCTTAGAATTGGGAATGACCAGCGTATGTACAAAGGGAACCTTTACCTTTACCTAGTACATTATTCTGCAACATTTTGCAGCTTCGTTTCCCTTGAGAATTCCCCGCAATCTTTTAAAATGGGGATTTAGCAGGATACACAGGTTGTATTCTTTCCTTCCTCCAAGAATGGTTAGCATGTAAGAGGCAGAAGATAAAAAGTGGAAAGGAATAGCCCAGGGGTGCCAAAATTGATTTGGTGGAGGGCTGCATCAGGGTTGTGTTTGACCTCAGGGGGCTGGGGGGGCGTGGCCAGCTTGATGTCACTTGTGTCAGAGGTACTTCTGATGGCCCAAACTGGGCTAGGAGGGACTCTCCTCCAGCCCTCTTTCAGGGAAAATGGAGCTTGGAAGGGCCGCATGCAGCCCGCCCAGGCTCCGTTTTTGCTGGCAGACGCACCACGGGCCAGTCCTCCACTGTTCCTAGAGTGGCCCCATGGACCAGATCTAAGCACTCTGCAGGCTGGATCCAGCCCGCAGGCCTTGAGTTTGACACCTCTGGAATAACCCATTGGGCCCACATCAGCATACCAGTTCTCTTGCTTAACCAAACTGTTTTTGCTATCTTTTTGCTATCTGTGTCACAAGAGTCTGTATCTTATTGCAAGCAGCTATCCATCTCTTTCTCTTTAAGAGTTTTATTATTTTTCAGTTACAAAAATAAACATTCCATCTTTCCTTATGCAGTGTATTCTGGGTACAAACATATCTGGGCAACATTGGTCCCCTTTTGCCACATCTTTCACATTCATATTAACATTATTTCCCTAAGTTTAGTATTATAATATATTAGGCATTTAAACATTGTAGAACTCTCCATTGTTTTTCTTACTATCTTCTAGTAATAATATATCAACATTAAACATAATTATCATACACAAACTAACCATTTTATATCTTTATTTGTGTATTGTCTACTTATTTTTACTTTTCTTCATTTCCAAACTCCTTTTTTTTTTCTCCAACCATTGGTAAAATACTTCTCAAATAATATAATATTCAGTGTGCTCTTTCTCTTTAATTGATGTTAATCTGTTTGTTTCTGCACATTCTAATATTTTCCTTATCACCTTCTCATCAATAGAGATCTCTACATTTTTCCAATGTTGAGCAAATACAATTCTAGCTGCAGTTAGTACATGAATGATTAAATATACATTTTCTTTATTATAAATTTTAGGTAGAATTCCTAGCAGAAATGTTTCTGGCTTCAGCTCAATATGTTGTTGTATCATCTCTCCCAAACATGTCTGAATTTTTGTCCAGTTTTTGCAGCTATCCATCTCTTGAGTGATGCCATTCCAAATGTGATCTTCCCTTTATCAATCCATTTTGCTTTTCCATGCGAGTCTGCATGAAATGAAAGGGTAATGAAAAGTCTGCAAGAAAAAACCAAGCTCAGAGAGCACCAAGGAGCTGCTTTCAACCCTATGCTACAAGTATTCTCATTTAATTGGAAATATGCATGTGAAGCCTAGCCAAGGAGCTTCACATACCGATCTGATCTCAAAATCCCCCCAAATTCAGTGACTTGTTGAATTTTCCAGTATCATGAACTTGACGAATTAAAGGTAAAGGTTCCCCTGGCACATATGTGCTAGTCGTTCCTGACTCTAGGGGGCAGTGCTCATCTCTGTTTCAAAGCTGAAGAGCCAGCACTGTCCAAAGACATCTCCATGGTCATATGGGCGGCATGACTAAATGCCGAAGGCTCACGGAACGCTGTTACCTTCCCACCAAAGGTGGCTCCTATTTTTCTACTTGCATTTTTTATGTGCTTTGGAACTGCTAGGTTGGCAGAAACTGGGACAAGTAACGGGAGCTCACTCCATTAAGTGGTGCTAGGGATTCGAACTACCGACCTTTCTGATTGACAAGCTCAGCATCTTAGCCACTATGCCACCGCATCCCTCTCTTGAGGAATTACAGGGACCTAAAAAATGTGATTTGAAGACCCACATCTGTCTGCAGGCTATGTACTGGTCACTTCTTATTTTACTTTTATATCTTCCTATTCATTATGTTCCTCTCACTCTTGATTGTCTATAGCAGTTTCAATTACAGGTAGTCCTCGACTTAACAACAGTTTGCTTAGGGAGCGTTCAAAGCGACAACAGCACTGTTTACGACCATTTTTCCTAGAGTTATGACCTTTGCAGGATCCCCATGGTCCTGTGATCGAAATTCAGATGCTTGGCAAGTGCCTCATATTTATGACCATCGCTGTGGTCCGCTTAATAGCCCGTTTATTAACTTACTGTATCAACTGCAGCAATTCACTTAAAAACCGTGGCAAGAATTTTTGGGGTAAAACCCACTTAACAAAAATCTCACTTAACAACAGAAATTTTCAGCTCAATCGTCATAAGTCAAGGATGACCACCTGTATTATTCTGGATTTATTAAATTATAGACCTTGCAATCTCTTCTGATTTCTCACTTTTTGTGGCTGCTTGTTATTGTGGATGCAAATTGTGCTCATACCAGAGAATTTGATGCCTTTTGTGATTATCCTCCAGCTGGCCTATTCATGCCATTCTCTTTGCTTCTCTCTGGCAGGTGGAAGCTGTTATCCATCCACAATTTATGGTGGACTTACTGTCTCCAGAGAAAACCCAAGATCCCTTGGAGCTGGTAGAAGAGTTAGCAGAGGAGTTAAGCTTGACACCCAGCCAGGTAATACAAGGGAATGAAATTTGAAGCGGTTAAATTGGAATCCTGCAGTGAAGAGGCCATGCAGAATAGGATTGGAAGCAAGAGTGCCATTCTACAATTTTAGATCTTGGGCTGAAGCTAGCAAGGACCTTTTTGTGTGTTCCTGGAGCTTAAGTGCCATTTTCAATTCAAAGAGTGACTTGTTCATTTTTAAAGTGATAATAATAAAACGACTGTCGGGTAATTAGGTACATCTAGGTACATCCTCTCCAGCTACAAAAATTAAAGGGGAAAATAATAAAATGGTAAGGAATTTGTGAAACCCAGCTGCAGCATGCCTGCCACTCAGATATTGACAATAGACACTTGTGACTCTCCAAGTGTTAATTTGGGGAGGAGTTTCTCAGTTATGGATACCCAGATTTTTTTTCCAGTAAGACCACTGCATGGGAATCACTTCCATATCAGAGTTTGAGCATATTTATAGATCAGTTCAGGTGGAATTGGGTACAGAAGTTATATTAACTATTGAGGCTCTCTAGTCTTCTTCAAACTGATACCATTCAGAAAAGAGATGGAAGGGACCTTGGAGATCTTCTAGTCCAGCCCCCTCCTGCTCAAGCAAGAGACCCAATGCAATTTGAGACAAGTGGTTGTCCAGCCTCTTCTTTAAAACCGCCAGTGATAAAACACCCACAACTTCTGAAGGCCAGATGTTCTATGGGTTAATTGTTCTCAATGTTAAGGAGTGTCTCCTTAATAAGAGATTGCTTCTCTCCTTCATTAATTTCCATCTGTTGTTTCTTTTCTTGCCTTCGGTGCTTTGGAAAACAAGTTGACCCCTCTTCTTAGTGGCAGGCCCTTAAATACTGGAATAGTGCTATCGTGTCACCGCTCCTCCTCCTTTTCTCTAGATTTGCCATACCACATTGCTGCAATACTGGGGGGAGATTAGTCTGAATTGGGTTATGAAGCTGGTGGTGCTTCACCTCTTCCCATTGTACTCAAAGCTGCCGGCCCGCCATGAGTCACTCCCAAATCCCGAACAAGCCACTTGGTCCTTCCCTCAGACCTTCCCAGAGGCAGGAGAAGAGTGATGGACACCCAGCACATAGCCTCAATGGAGGGAGGGGAGGGGGGGCAGAAGCAAAGGGAGAGAGACAGCGGATCAAAAGTAACACATACCGTATTTTTCAGACTATAAGATGCACTGGTGTATAAAACACACCATGATTTCAAAGAGATAAGTAAGAAAAAAAAGTTTTTTTTCCTTCCCAGCACCCAGGAGTACTCTGCAGGCTTCAACAGGGCTGGGGGGAGGCAAAAACGCCCCATTTTTTGCAGAAAACAGGGCATTTTTCACAAAAACTGAGGCATTTTTGCCTTCCCCCAGCCCCGCTGAAACCTGCAGTGTGCT